TTGAGGGTCAGGGTCAGTTAGGTGTAAACTCGACAAAAATCAATTTCACGATTTTCCAATCCCTGCCCTGACACAACAATTGCATGCAATAAATGAAAATCCTGCTTCAATAACTGACAGGATGCAGTCTTGGACTGATTAGTGTTGATTAGACAGAGTGACTAGTTACGGTTTGGCAGGTGTCCACTGATAACCAAGATGCAGCGATTTACAGGTTACCCTATTTTTAGACCTACCCTACAGACTTCACCATTGTGTGACCTTGTATGCCATACCTTGGGTATGGCGAATTACAGTTTTCACTGTAACTGACTCACGACATCAAATCTAGATGTGCGATTTCAGACAGACACTGTATACTGAATTGCGATTTACCAGGAACTGACAAAATTGAATTCTGACGAACAAAATCAAAGTTATGACTGACCCTAGTATAGCCAGGCTTTAACTATGTCATCGCAGAATTCGAATTTGCATCATCGCTGAAAACAGGACCCTGAATTCACCAATTCACTACACAGTATAAATCGCAATACTGTAAAGCAGTCACAGATGTAGTATGAGTCGGAAAAAAGGTCAAACAGGGTTAGTAGAAGTCAAAGAAGATAGGTAGGGGAAGTTGGATATGGTTGTCCCATAGTCTGAATTTTGATTTTCAACTGTAAACTGACAGACAGACCAAATTTCTCTATTCTAAAAATAGCCCCAGAATCGCCACACAGGATGGAGTAAGGAACACACTTACTTCAGAATCAATTATGAAGAAGATGCATGAAACCTTGGCTATGGCTGACTGGTCAACCCCGTCTCGCCGGTTTCATCTCCTGACAGTATATAGGGATTCCCACGTACCAAATTGTCAGAAACTTGGTGATCCAGTAGATTACCCTGAGGCGCTTCACCCCCAACTGACAGATTCAGAGAAGTCGGACTCCCAGGTGCCAATAACTGACGAACTCAGTGCAGCGTCACATCACCCTATACTGCGCTGCTTGGAAATTGGGGATCCTGACCCAATTCCAAAATCGCAACCTCCTGGGATCACTTCCTTGCCAATCGTCAGCCTCCAGATGAATCGCCAGGCTAAAAATAGCCTCCTAGAGCCTCTCAGGCCTCTGAGCACCAATCGCCAACCACTCCTCCACAACCCTAGTCAGGAGTGAGTCACCCTCTGTCCAATTCTTCTCGCCACACACTCACAGCCACCACCCTTACTAACAACAACCCTGAAGATGATGAATCACCATGAGACTCAACTCCAGTATCTCGCCAGATGATGATGGTTGCTCCAACTCATCAATCGCTCCAGAGTATGGATCCAATCGCTCTGATACCAACTGTTATGATTCTGGTTGTTTGTTGTATGAAGACCAACACTCGCACACATAGACTTCCAGGTATGCCCTTACATACACAGAAGGAAGGGGAGAGGATAGGAGTATCACACTGCACAGGGAGAGATAAACACAGCGGAAGACTTGACCATGCCATATGACAGGGTACAGTGAAAGCGCAATTCACTCCACTCAATCCTCACAACCAGTCATAAAGAAAAGCCGAGTAGATGACATCCAAGAAAAACAATGAAACGATGATAGTCCAAACCCAGTTACACACTGTTTGTTAAACTCAAAGTCTCAAATTGTCAGGATAACCTCAGTACTATAGTGGGCTGCTCAAAAATGAGCAGCGCTTCACTCCCCAACCCTGATTAGCCACTCGTAACGCCCCTGAGCCCCTGAAACATCAAGCGCCACCCAGATACAGCCTCTACGGGGAAGCGCCACCCTGAAATAGGCCTCTGAGGCCAAGCGCCACTCAAGAGGATGAAGAAGAAGACCAGTGCCACAGTATCTGATGATGACGAAGTGTCGGAAGACTTCCCAGATGAAAGTCTGCAGCAGCGCCACCAAACCTTGACAAGATGACCTCTGAGGAAGAAGCTGCAGATATGGCCGCAGCGCCACCACCCTGGAACCCCACTCCGGAGGAGGGTCCAGCAGGGCACCAACTTCTCTCACCTCCAACCGACCTCGATAGCCCAGACCTTTGTCAGCCCCTGCGTGCTGGCAGAGTACAGCGCAGGTCCCAGCTATGGTCGGCGCTCCGAAGGTCTGGCTATGCCTGTCTCCTTCCACGCTGAGTTGTCACCACTTCCAGTTCACATGTAGCGCAGCAGCGATGTACTCGGTACCAACTGGCAAAAGCCCTGAACCAATGTGCCCATCCTATCTATAGACTAAGCTAGCCGAGACTCGACCTAAACCCGACTGACTGACCGACCTAGACCCGACTGACTGACCGACCGGTACCATATGAGTTTTGGCCTCTCGGCCTCTACCGTAGCCGGCTATAGGCTATAGGACCGTCTATCAGCATAGGTCCTAGGGATGGCCCGGGCCTGCTATTCGCAGTTAGGGTAGCAGTAGGAAATTCAGTTAGTGTTGGGCCTGTATTTTCCCAAATTTGCAGGTATGTCCCTCACGAATTTCCACTACAGGTAGGTCTCTTGGTAGCCCTCAGCCAAACAAAATTACGAATTTACCCTACCTATGGTACAACCTCGACAGAGAGAGGCTACAGGCGGCCAGAAAACAGCAAGTCATTGCGCTACTGTTTCTCTTCCTTTTTGGCAGGCACATCATTGCAGTCTGATATCTGACCAGCAGGCCCTAGACTTACTCTTTTCAGTCCTGTATCTACCAGAGCCTACTCCTAGACTGACTGCACCGCAGGGCACTACTTTGGCCTACCCAAAGGTACTACCTTTTTGTCCACTGCTACTTGATTTTGGCTGCCGCACGCCTTCCTTCCTCTCTAAGCTGTTTGCTGCACAAGTCCACGCGCGGCCCAGGGTTAGTACCGAGCCCATGCGCCAAAACACACACAAACCCACACACGAGCTGCACACATGCACACACAGGCACTCAGACGGCCAGACACACAGCACAGGCTTAGACAGTAGAAATCGAGCAAGCACCCAGAACGGCGACAAAACTCAGAAAAGCACAGGACTCGCACACAGTTTGCAATGTTGCAGGTTATTACCATGGTAACCGCGGACCTGGACACCGGACACTTGCGGACTGTTTTCCGGACCTGTGTCTGGACCAGTCCGGACACCACCGGACACCGGACACCACCAGACACCGGACTGTCCGGACTGTGGTGGCAGGGACAAGATGCCCGGAAAAAAAAAAAAAAAAAAAGGGCGGGGAGGGAGCTCACCTGGTTCGCACTTCGTGGCGGAGCACCTGCATCAGACTGTCTACATTTCATTAAACAAACACACTCAACAAACACATTCAACAGGCACAACCAGCAAATGCAGTTTGAACTTTCTGAATGCAAAACTTGAAAGAGTTCAGCTGTTGAACGAATTCCAGCAAAAAATGTCAATTTTCAACAGAAAAAAGTCCAACAAACACATCCGAAAATGGTCTCTCTCTCTCTCTCTCTCTCTCTCTCTCTCTCTCTCTCTCTCTCTCTCTCTCTCTCTCTCTCTCTCTCTCTCTCTCTCTCTTCAGCGCGATGTTTGACTGTGCTGTAATTCGGAGCCGTCCTTTGCCTCCGACGAACTCCCATCTTCCTTCCGGCCTTCGCATTCGGAGTCGTCCTCTTCCTCCGACGACCTCCCATGTTTCTCGCTGCCATCGCTGCTGCCACGACCACCTTCACTTTCATCGCTGCTGCCGCTGCCATCACACGCACCTCCGCTGCGGCCACTTCCGTCATTTTCATCATGCTCAGCCCCGCTTTCGTCTCTGCTGCTGCTTCCGTCGTTGCTGCCATGTTTGCCAGCGCTGCTCGTCTTTTCAAGCACTGCTTCCTCCTCCTCTTCGACGGGCTGCATCTGCAAACGTTCCCGCTTCCATGTCCCCCTTCTAGTTCCAGCCTCCTCTTCCACGGCCGCCTTCCGCGGCCGTCCCCACTTTCTTGTCTCCCGTGCAGGTGCAGGACCCCTTTCCAAATGCCCACCTTCCACATCCTCAACTTCCTCATCACCTGTCTCCGCAGCGTCCTTTCGAGGTCTCCCTCTCCCTCGTTTGGCTGGTATGGAGGGTGGTGCACATGCAGCAGCCCGCGCAGCTTTGTACTTGTTGGCATGCCCAAGGGTCATGGTCCTGGTAGCCTGATCCAAGTCATGCAAATGTTGTCGGGCCAAAAACTTGGAAGCCTTCGTGGCCTTCCTCCACGACTCGTTGAGCTCCCTCTCAAGCTCGAACAAATCGCTGCGCAGCCGACGATGCTGAACTGTGACCTCCTTCGCAACATCCGTTTGTTGTGCTTGGACAGGAATGTCTTCCTCGTCGGAGCCCGAGTCGTCATTCTCACCTTCCTCGTGAACCGCATGTGTTCCGCGCAACCGGGCACGCCACTACCCCAACCGTAGGCGTGCATCCGACGCCATCTCATCTCGTGTGAGATCCTCCACCGGTTCATCCGGTTCCCACTTCGTTGAATCGTCGGCCTTCGGTTTCTTGGTCAAGAAGTCCAACAAGTGCTGGTTCCATCTGTTGAAAACCAGCGTGCTTAGCTTGATGGTGCCAAGATTGTTGCGGAGACGGCTGTGAATCCGTTCGAACAAGCTCCAATTCCTCTCGCAACTAGAGGAGGAGGAGGCTTGTCCAAGGAGGCGAATGGCTTGCTTTTGGAGGATGGGCATGTCACTGCACCACTTTCGCCACCACCTCGCCGGCTGCATCGTACGGGCTTGTGTCCTTGCATTTTCGGTAGTGTGTTTCCAGGTGCCCTCGATCCGAGAACAGACCTCCGTGTCAACCTCCATATACGCAGCCTCCTTGCACCACGAGTAAAGTCATGTCCAAAACCCATCCACAATCTCTACGTGCGTTTCCTGCCGCGATGCTCTATACTCCGGATCCAAAAACAGCGCAGCACAATGCAGTGGTGAAGTCATTGTATTCCAGCGCCGCATGATGATAACCTCTAGCTCATCCATTTCCGCTTTTGTGAAGTGTGTGCTCTCCCTCAGTTTCTCCACTGCGCTGTCCATACGGGCATAGACCTTATTGATGGTGGGACCCGTGCCGTCGACCAACTTCAGAAGCTTGAGGAGGTGCTTGGACGTTTGCATCACCTTCTCGATATCTGCCCAGAAGGTGTTGTTGAAGATGGAATGTGTCACCCTCACAAACAGTTCGTGTTGCGAAGTGTGCACAATCGATGGCTTCCAGTCATCGTCTGTCACACACGCTCGCAGTGGCAAGTATAACCCCTGCAGGCTCGACAACATGATGAAGTTCATGGCAAATCGGGTCGCACCCGGTTTTGCCATGACACCGCCATTGGAGTAGTGGATGAGGAGATCCCGCACCCGCGAAAGGTTCGTGAAAAACTTTGCTACCTCTGACGCCCTTTTAATAACTTTGCCCACCCACGTGATTTTCGCGAAAGACTCGAAAATGAGGTCGAGCGAGTGCACTGTGCATGGGACCGAGAAGATGTGCGGGTAATCTGCTTCCACCATTCGCCCCGCAGCTGCACAAACGGCAGCATTGTCCATAACGACCCCCACCACTGCCTCCACACCTATCTCCTCTATTGCCCTCTTCAAAATGCCATAGTATGCCGAGGCGCCTTTGTTGTGTCATGGCATGCACACACTTCGCCAAAAGATAGAGCCCTTCGGGAAGGAGACCATCACATTGATGTGTGGTCTCTGTCGGCGATCTGTCCAACCATCAAGCTGCAACATGCAGCCAGTGGTTGGCCACTCCTGCCGCAACTCCTCCACCCTCTTCGCGACCCTCCCCCTCGTCACTTCAACCCTCTTCGTCCTTGCATTCTCGAATTTCGCGTACCGGAATCCTTTGGGCGCGTTCATGAGGGCATGCACCATTCTGTCCCAGTACTCGCTCCGCATTATATTGAATGGGATGCATTCTGCCGTCATCCAGTCATCCACCGTGCGTTGTGTTTGCTCATGCGCCGTGATCACAGCAGCGCTGTCCTCGATCGTCGTTTGACGGAGGCCGACTACACCTGTGGACGACTGGGGAGTCGCATGACGGAGCCCCGCCGCAGACTCCGGCTTCCACGGTCCGCTGCTCGTTGTCGTCCTTCGACGACTCTCCCTTCTGCAGTCTCTCCCGTAATGACTCCCAACTCCGACCTCGCAGCCAATCTCCCCTTCACCCTCCTCGAGTACTTTTCTCTCGGCACAACACCTCGCAAGCGCTCGACATCGCATCGCGAACCCTTCAAGAAATGGTCCCTTGCCATGCTCACTGTCTTGGCCACAGGCTTGTCACAGTAATTGGAGATCCGTTGTTTGTTACCCTTGTTGGCTCTGCCGCTGTCTCCCACCTCCGTGAAGTGCTCCTTCACGGGCTCACAGCGGCTCTTCGTCATCCTGCAACCAAACGACAAAAGCGGAAGGAACAATAGTGGTTAAAGCCAGTTCACTCCCCAACCCTCAATGCTCTCCCTCCCTCAACGCTCTCCCTCGTCCATTCTCTATCCATATCCACCAGTCTGCTCACTGAAAACAATGAAGCAACCAATCAACCAATCAATCACACAATTAATCAATCAATCAATCAATCAATCAATCAATCAATCACCTCCCCAACCTCCCCCTACCTCTGCCTGTCCCAGAACCTCCCTACCTCTGCTTGTGCCGCCTACCTCCGCCTGTCCCCCCTACCTCTGCCTGTCCCCCTACCTCCCGAACCTTCCCCTACCTCTCGAACCTCCGGCTACCTCCGACTGTCCCCCCCC